TGATGAAACTTGTCATTCTGAAGGTTTTTAATATCCAAAAGGCAGTTAACAAGCAATTTCCATAAGTGATTAAGAACGAAAGTGGGCGAACCCAGTGTCGGTTTGAAGACTCCAAACCACTGCTTGGGCAAACCTGACTCTCCCTCAGCTCCTAGAGCTCTAAAACCCACCAGAGACCACTATTTTATGCCCTCCTTGCAAGGAGCCTCTGTATGGAGTGCTTATGGGCAATCCCAGGTCTTTCCCTTTATCTGGAGAGGCACCAATCCTGTGGAAGAAAGTGGAGCTGTCTTCAGTCTGCCACTGCTTCCCTGAAAGTCCTTGGAATCTGCTGCCTGTTTATGTCTGAAAAGATGCCTGGGATGGGCAATAGGGAAGAAAGTGTCTGGAAGGGATTCTGAGCCAAAATGGATGACTGGGCAATGCTAAAGGCAGAATTCTCAACTGAAGAAACCATTTTTCCAGTCTAGCAGGTTGCATCTCGTGTTTAGCCTCATGTTGTTCAGCCCCCCTTCAATCCTAACAATGCCACAGACTAGGAAGTTGAATTCAGTGGTCCTTATTTCTATTTCACAATCTGCATTGCCATAATTCTTTTAGGTGGACTCAGAATGATGCTATAAAAAGATGGCTTTAGTAGGACAAATTTCTGAGAAATAAGTGATCGACTCCATCTGAGAATGGAATATTCCTTCTGCTGCCTCCAGTCACATACATGCATGTTCCTTCAGCTGTGATGAATTATATCTCCTACTTGCACAGCAGATAGAATGGTTAAGTGACAAAAATAGAAAAAGTCTCTCCTTTACTGAGAATATATTTATCAATCATGTCCCATCAAAATTGTGTGATGTGTTCCATGAAGAGCAGTGTTAGAAAACTTTCTTGAGTGGGCTTGCTTAGAAATACGAATTTGCCTTTCTGTGGCATTTTTTAAAACTTATTAGTACAAGCTTTGATTGGATGGCTTTCAACTAGAATCCATCTACAGAGCATTTCCATCCTGCCAATTCCACAAAAACATTGCTGGAATTTGTAAAATTTATGCAGGAAGTTCATTTCAAGATGGACAAGTTTCAAGCAAGGAAGGTATGGCTCTTCTGGATTTACAGTAATTCTCAAACTCTTTACCAGCATGCCAAGCGAGAACCACCAATGTGGCATGAGAAATAAGATAATTAACTAATTAGAACAGAGGTGTGAAAACTTTAGAGGCTTTTGAACTTTCATCATTACCCCATATTGACATCCTGGGTGATCATGGTGTGACTTGGAGCACGGCAATATCTGGAGGGCTATAGATTGCCTACAATTGCACTAAAAGTCATCTCAAGTGACCCATCAAGGGAGCAGGCTGTTCTCTTGCAACAAATCTTGTTTCGCTTTCTTTCAGCTATCTCCATAGAGGGATCAGTGAGCAATTCTATCCACCTCAATTATGACTAGATTATCCAACTTTCACTGATGGGAGATAGAGAGTGAGCAAGAGAGCACACAATTACTCACCTTCTGAAGAGGCTGCAAATTTGGTCTCTGTACAAGGTGTTGCTCTGCATATGCCACCTTCCAGTCAGGAGATTTAGAAAATTCTGAAGGGTACATAGAAAAATGGATTGAGATAAGAATGGTTACTTACCTGTAACTGAGGTATTAGTGGTCATCTGTATATCCACACTGATGGAAATTTGTACCTTCACAGTACTTCAGTAGGAACCTTCTAAAAACTGAAAAATTTGGTGGGACTCAGCAGGTGCACACCTATTCTCCTTAGTCATGAAGAATGACCCAGCAAAACATCAAATCTAGAGACAGAAGCTGATACTGAGAGGACAGTATGCCATGTAAGTACACAGATGACCACTCAAAAAGTTATCATAGATGATAAGTTCTTTTTTATTGTGGTCTCTATGATTCACACTGATAGAGAATAGAAAACTGTATAGCCGGAGGCAGATCAGTGTCTGTTTTTCTAAAAGATGCATCATTCTCTATCTAACTTCTCTCCAATAGCCTAATGAGGGTCCATTGTTTTACCCAGATCACAGCTCTACACAGATTTGGCAAAGAAACTTATTTCAGAAAAGTAGCAGATGTGTGCAGGAAGATGTGCTTAGCTAACAAGTCAAGAGTAGATGCCACTATTTAGAAAAATGTTGGGTTGATATACCAACTTTCTTAGGGAGGACTCCAACTGGCAATAAATATTCTGATAAAAGATGGAAAGGACAATATTCTGACTTGTAAAACAATTTTAGATAAAAAGAATATCTAGTCATATGGCAACCTTTTCTATGTGGAATTTTGTATATGGGATATCTATTCTTAAAGCACATAACTCACTATTCCCATGTGTCTTAGCAATTCAAACCACTTTTTTCCAATATAATGTAACTGAGGCACAGGTTGCTATAAGATCAAACTGTTTATTCATTAAATCAGTAAGGCAAAAGATAAATCCAACCAGAGACTAGGTTTGGAACTTGAGGATGCAAATTAAGTATGCCTTTTAGAAACTTTTTAACCATTGGTTGCAGAAGAAAAAACAAACCCAAGATACCCTAGATGGGAACTCAGTATGTTGAGATGGCTGACAAGTAAACATGTAAAACAAGCCATAGAAAGATCTTAGATTTCAGTGTGTGTGCGTGTGTGTGTTTAAAGATAATATCTGAAGCAGAAAACAGTTCATAGGACTGAACTTCCTTTGGTGGCTGAAAGTGGTAAAATACCCCTTGCTATAACTGGACAGATGAAGCAAACTATGATAGCTTTGGTCAACATGGTATGACAAAAATGTCTTTCCTCCTCTTGAATAGGAAAGGAATGAGCTGAAATGCATAATATTATTCTGTCCATATAAAGACAATCCACAGAAAATTATGATCCAGAACATTGCGCAATAAGTGATGTATGGCAATGCAAATAGCTCAATGTAAAGTTGTCCCCACTCTCAAAACAGACACCAAACAGCAAATGTATCTGATTTCTATTCATTCCATTTCCATGCTGTAGTGTCAATTCAAGCAATTGGACAAAGACCTGTAAATGCCTGTCCAGGTATATAGGCAGAGAGTCCCTTGGAATGCAACCAGCTCCAGAAAGTCTGCTATAGATACCATAAGTTAATACTTTATTCCACTTGCATTTGTTGACTTATCAAATGACTATGATATTGTTCCTGTATAACCTTGCTGCAAAGTTCCTAGTGGTGCCAGACTATCCAATCATGGAAGTTGCTCCTTTATGGAAGCAACTGTCATCACCATGAGCCTTCATACCAATAGAGCAAAGGACAACACCCGCCAAAAATGTGTCCCTGCCCAAAATTTGTCCATGTTTATCTCCTCTCTAGAAATCATCATATCATCTCAGGAAAAAGTGCTAAGAAGTAGAACACAGATCTCCATGGATGGTATCAAAGGTACCAGTATTGAAACAGGTATGTGTTCAGATGAGCAAAAGGAATAGCCATAATGATGGTTGACATATGTTGTAGCTATGAGAGAATGGCCCTTGTCAAAGCTCCCAAAGGCCTGTCTCTATATGTAGGAAGACCATGCCCCTGCCAATATCTATTTGGACACTGGAGCATTTGAATAGGAACAAGTCAACAGTTTTCTAGCGGCAGTCAAATGAAAATTATAGTCATATAGTTTCAAAGCTTCAAGCACAATAGTGCTACTTTAAGTCAATTGTACAAACAGAAGAAACAATAATTCTCTGAGGATGGAAGTACAGGTATACCAGGAGCCGGAGTTTCCCAGGGCTGGGATGTAGAGAATGTAAATGAGCAGTTGTCACTTAGAACTGATTGTGGGAAATGTAAGGCAAGTTTACCATTACTCCATGGAAAATGTGGGAGGAAAAGGTACTGTAAGGCAGGCGATCAGTGTTAACTGTCAAGGGCTATAACCTGTTGGAAAAGGGAATCTGTTGTGATGATAAAGATGCACTTTTAACCATCCCATGCTGAGTTACTGGGAAGCTTTAGCCAAGTTCAAGATTGCCCAAAGTATCTTAATGGTATGTGAGAGACTGGATTCAATTAAATTGAATCTTGAGAAGTCATCATATCACCTTGCCCTATCTCAGTTAAATGGAAGTGGGGTTATAATGGTGATGATCCTTGCCTTTTCACTGCTTTTTGACCTTGGTTAAGATATCTGCAGGATGCTTGGCCAGCATTTTTATGCTTGCTGTGCTCACTAAGGAGCAGTCACCTGGTTTAAGGTTGTTCTTTTATTGGCAACTCTGCCATGCTGATGCTGGGGAAAAGGCTCAAATGGGAGGTGAAATGAAGAAGCACAGGTGCCTGCAATTTTCTCAGGCAGTCTGCTGTTCCACACCACACTATGGTCTTGGTAATCTTACCTTAAGGAAGAAAGTGAATCAGGCATCAAAATTTGCTCAGGCAAAGTGTGTAAGTCTGGGTTGAATATTTTCACATCTTGTTCAGCAATGCTCCAAATGTCTCAACCTTCACATAACTTCACCCTGAAGTCAAGCAGTCAATCCCCTATTTTTTCTCTCCTTCTGAGACTGTTAAACTGATTTTACAATTGAAAAAAAAGGCAAAGCAATTGAGGGTGATTTGACTTCAGCAAATATGTTAAAGGTAAATGTGATTACTCTTTTCTGGACAGCTGAAGTAGATTCATCATAATACCAGTATATATAAAATTGAGATAGGAAGGATCTGGCAAATATTCACTCCATCAGCTTGTTGAGCATGAGAAGTAAAAGTAGTAGATTGGATGATGCAGGACAATATCTCAGTGGAAGAACAAGCTGGGAGCAATATCTCAGGGAGGAATAGTTGACACTTGATCAGTGTCTTATTCCTCAACATTTAATAGAAAAAAATGCATTAATCACCCTCAGGGAACTTCTTTGTTGCCTTCACTGACTTAAAGGCAGCTTTAGATTTGATCTCTACAGATAGTCTATGGGAGAAATTGGATCTATCAATGACAGCTTTTGATGCTGATTATGAAACTGCATGGAAATAATACAGTGCAAATTTACTGTGTCATTTTGGAAATCTTACACCTCCTTTTGGAGATCTTGAACCCTCATTCAAAAAGGGGTAAAGCAAAGGTAGATTTTGGCCCCTTGCATTTTTAATATTTATGTTCGTTTTTTGGTACCAGCATTGACAAAACCTGAGAATCATCCCCACTGTTGGCCAACAGACCTGTTTTGATATCCTGGTGATCACCAATCCTCTCTACAATACAAATGGGCCTGAGATGACTCCTTAAGCCCTTACCCTCTGTTGTGGAAAGACTGGTTGTAGTCACTCTTTCCAGAAAACCTGTCATTGACCATTCCTCCTAGGGAATCAACAAAACAAGGGCCAAACTATGCTATAATTTGTTTACTCAGACTTTCTATGTTAGTAGAACCCACATGTAGCTCTGATCACATGCAGTGGCAAAGAAATGTAAAAATTCAGAAAATCCAAAAAATATGCAAATACTTATTCACAGAACATGTAATGCAGAAACTGTGGTAGTGACCTAGGTTCATCTATTATTACAGCTGGAGAGATCTTTCCCAAAGCAAATCTCATAAATAGTTAGACTGTAGTAAAGGCTTGATGCTGGCAGTGAGAACAAAGTTTCATTTTGCCCTTCTCCCAAGGAAACCAAATAGAAAGAATGCCCATCTGGGAGAGAAGTCTACTGTTAAGAAGTCTATTTCACACATTTCCTACGCAAAGCCTTCAAGGCCATTAACATCAAGATGGTGAAAGGCAGACCAGCTCTATGAAAGTAAACTCTGAAATAAAAAGAACATCCAGAACTGGAAAGAGGAGAGAAAGAAGATAAAAATGAACTAAAGAAAGCAAGCAACAAATAACAGTGCTTTGAGAAAGCAAGTATGGAGGAATATCCTTGAGATATTACCACTGTGTTAGTCAAAGAAGAATTGAGAAGAATGGTGGGAATCCTGTTAAAGATAGGCATGAGGATGATCTCCTGGCAAAAGGTTTAGCCCTAGAATATTCTGACAAATACCCTGTGCAGTGATCCTACTTTGAGTGTAAATCACTGTGACCACAATACAGAAAGTTCTCTTTCTCTCTTCAATAATTCTCACAGACAGGATCACTCTGTAAAGGAACTGGCAGTATAGCCAGGAGGCTCCAGGACTGTCACAAGATCTGGTGGTGCCTCATAAGTAAGATGGCTTTAGATGGGGTCAGGCAGCCTCAAGAAGAATAATCATACATTCTTGTTTCAGAGGAAATTGGTGAGTACCAGTGGAAAAGAATGACTGCCTTTACATTTTGTTTATGGCTTCCTGAGATTCTGTATAAAACAGGATGCTAGACAAGAGAAGTATTTGGCCTGATTCAGCAGAACTTTTCTGGTGAGACTTGTACAGAACCAAATGCATGTTGAGACTCCTGCTGACATTCCTCTGCGGTATAATGATTTATGTCAAAATTATAGTTGATACTCATGTTGGGAGAAATCTATACTTATTCAAGCATTATTCCAGAACTGACAGCTTAACCTCATGCAAGTTTATTCTGACATGATTGATTGATTGATTAATAGATGAAGGGAGATTTTAGAATGAGAAAGCAGAGATTCACTCATGACACTATGCAGTAAGAAACTTACATTTCAGAATACCAAATGTTTTTAGTTTAGTCCATATCTAGATATGTTTATTTGTGTATAACACAGAAAAAAAGCTAGTGTAATGGTCAGATTTGAAGCCAAGTTCAAATCATTGTCAACCATGAAGGCCACCTTGTGACCTTACGCCAGCCTTCCCCAACATAGACACCTTCCAGATCTGTAGACTTTATCTCCCAGAATTCCACAGCCAGCATGGTAATTGAATTGAAGTCCACATATCTAGATACCTGAGTGACTAGGATGAAGTATGCTTGTCACCCTGTCTCAGTTAATTTATTTGCTGGTTTGTTGTAAGGAGAAAATGGAGTGTGTACATTATGGATGCTATGTTATGCTCCTTGGAGGTAAACATACAGTCAAGTGGGGGGCGGGGAGAAGTAAAGTTGTTATTAAGAGTACTATTTGACTAGGTGATCAGAAGTTCAGGAAATACTGCTAGCAAAGAATATATGCTGAAAACTGTTTTCATGGCAACAGGATTTCAGGCCATGTCACTGCACTACGTCAAGAAAACAAACATGTAGACTCAAATACGCTAACTGGCTTGGTGAACAAATAGATTTTATGGAACAGCATCAAGCTGCATTTGATCTCACTTAGTATTTGGCACATTTCTTTAAACAAAAAGATATTTGAAAATGTCAATTAACTGACCATCCACCTAAGATTTCTCGCACAGAGAATGGGATTCTTCTCTTTTACTTTTAGTATTTATCTTTTCTTATTATCATTGTAGCTTCTTGCCCAGAGAGGGGATTGTTAGATGCACATTGTAATAATCTCATGTTTTACACTGGGATTATTCAAAGAGATGTGCTGTAACAATGGAGTTGGGAAGAGTTTTTATTACACACAGACAGCCATTTTTTTCACTCTTACTTGCTCTCTCTATGGAAATGAACTTTCTTAGAATTTATGATTATGACAAGACTTTTAACAGAATGAAAGAATTTGATATAATGACTGTATCTTGATTGCATTAAAAAAAAAGCTAATGAAGGAATATTTTGAACTAACCATTGCTTTTGTTGTGATGCAGAGCTAAGCACAACTGATTTGCTACAATTTGGAATAGCTGTGAAATTGCTATTATAACTGTAACTAAAGGTTTAACTTGTAGATCAAAGTACCCTAAATTGTTAATCAAGCTAGTAAGTAGATTAATCCACATTAATCTATTGTGAGAGCCATTGTAGTGTAGTTAAGATGTACCAGGGTGATGCAGGTTAAAATCCACCCAGGCTCACTGGGTGACTTTGAGCAAGTCGATATTAATTAATATTACAATCAATATTAATTAACATTAAAAGTTCCTTGTGTGAAGAAAATGAAAGAGGGAATACTACTAGGTAGCTTTAAGAAGGGGGGGGGGAGTTAAAATCTGACAAATGCTTCTGTTTATTAATCAGTAAGGACTACTTCTAAATCCACAAAATTAAGAATTAATGTTGCATTTTCTTGAAGCCATTTTGATTCTGATATGCAAGATGAAATGAAAAGGCAATATTCATCTCAAAAAAAATGTTAGATATTGTGTGTTCTTCTGACAAGGAACAGAAATAAACCCTACTAGCAATTCTTTCAATTAACAAATGGCCATGCACATTTAACAAAGAAGAATGGTTCACCAAAGAGCTTTCTGAGGAGATAAGATTCTTGGCAAAGAATAAGAAGTTGAAAACATGAAGCATTTTAATACAGGTGAGGCAGGTCTTTGGGGATGGTTAACTACAACTCCCAGCATCCTTACAACTGATCTTACTGGCTGTGTCCAATGGAGCTATAGTTCATCAACATGGGGAGACCAGAGATATCCTCCAGTTGCTTGAATGAGACAAGCTTAATCAGAGAACCCAGGTCTTGAAGAAAGACTTTTGGTGACCTAGGGTTGGAATCTATCTGTATAAACTATTTAGATTAAGTATATGAGCCTCAGGAAATCCCAGGTCTGGGCAGTTAAAAAGACATGGTGATTACATGCAGTTAGTTTACTTGGTAGGAATACTGATATGATTTGCTAATGCTTCTCCTGGGCTGTTTTTGTTGTAATACACCAGTTTGGGCTATTTTTTGCTGGTCTCTATCCAAATTCTACTTAGATCCAACCCTGGTTGGCTTTTTCAAGATTCATCCATATTGGCTAGGGGTTGCCACCTGCTGCGATGCAATGTCACTTGCTTCTGAGTAAAAACATTGCATTGCTCTGAACTAGATTGTCATGTCTCAACACAGTTTAATTCTGTGATTATTTTCAGGTAGCCTAAGCTGGAGGCAGCCATTATCTCTGTAGCTAATGGATCAGTTCATCAAACAGAAAAAAGAACTCAAATTCTTGATCTTTGTTTCCACAATACCTGCAGCCAATAACATTAGCCTTTGGCGTTGCCAACTATAGTCTGCCATAGCAGGATGTGAAAGCAAAGTTAATCACCCTACACAGCATCAGGAGTAATTCCATTTTGCATATTTGGGGATTTGGACATGTTCTTTCCTCACCTGTTTTGACCTAAGGCTCATTTACAATCCAGGGGATGGCTGTTTGTCAGAAATGGGGGGTGGGCAGGAGTTATATGCACATAAAAAAGTTGGGCAGCATCTCTCCAAATTCTGGAAAAGTGAAATCCTCAAAAGATTCAGCAGCTCAGTTGAAATTACAAAGTACGGACTCTAAAATTAACTTGCTCTGGGATATTTTAAAATAGTAGATTGCTAGTGTCGAGCTGATGGGTGTTCTCCTGCTCCTGATGAAATATAGAAGTGGTCTACTATTACATATATAATTATATATAATATCCCTGCCCAGTCTGTTCCTTCCTAGTTGTAGAATAATAGTCTAAATGCATCCAGACTGGCTGTAGTATCAAAAGGGCATTGCATCATAAAAACCTGCAGGAAACAACAGATAACAAAGGCTAAATACACCCTTTCTCTCCTTTTTTCCCAGACCTGAATCTGCTCTGATCTTCTAGGGCAACTCTGCTTCCCTACACTTCATCTAAAATGGTCTTGAAATAGGGAAGCAACTTGGTGACTCAGTTCATGCAGTACATTAAATAAGCCATGGATTTTGGATTGAGAAGGAGGGAGAGTCCAGGTTTGGCTTGGATGGCTATAAATAAACTTGCTAAGAAACCCAAAACTGTTTATTAAAGGGAAAATGTTCTGAAAGGGTATTATGCACTGAGCTTGCTATCAAATCTTCAGAACTGTTACAAAGGTCAATTCTTTATAGGGTACAGAGAAAAGTGGGTGCTTGAATAACTTCTTTGCCTAGCAGCCACTTCAAAATGATGATGATGATGATGATGATGATGATGATGATGATGATGATGATGATGATGATGATGCAAAGAAGCTGAAGAAGCAGTGGACCATCTAGTTAGCTGCTGCAAGAAGATCGCACAGACTGACCCCAAACAATGGCATGGCAAAGTAGAAAGTTGAAGAAAGAGACAGAGGGGCTAATTTTGGCTGCACAAGGCCAAGCCTCAAGAACAAATGCATATAAAGCCAGAACTGAGAAGACAGCAACAGACAGCAAATGCTGCCTCTGCAAAGAAGCTGAAGA